TGGACCCTGAGAACAGCCAGAAGGCCTGTCAGAAACTATAGGTTCTCTCCCTCCGTCTCGTGTCTAGGAAACCTCAGAGTCCGAGATGGGTGCAGCCTCGATACCATTACCGCTGGAAGAGGAAGACACTCTCCCGAGATACTCTGGGCGCAAGAGACGGGGTACGGTCTGGTACACGCTGCCTGTGTCAGAGTCCAAGTTAGAGGACCCAGACCTGGGACAAAAACGTCACAGAAAAAGCTACAAGAGACAGGCCAGGCGTACATCCCTGCATTGTGTGGGGTGGGGGGTGTTGAGGGGGTGTGGTGTGTTGAGGTTGGGGGGGATATAGTGATTGGAACCAGTGCCAGGTGGCTCTCATTGACTATAGATCCCTGATTGGGGTTGTTAACCTGGGCCCATTAGGGAGCCCTGGCTGACAGATATAAACAGGAGATTCAGAAGGTCTTCTCAGTCTAGAGACTGGCTCTGAACTGAATGATCACAGCCAGGGTACTGTGCACATGTAAATAAAGGGTGACTTGGTGATGGGATACCAGCTACTGTGCAGTTATTTCAGTCTCCAGTTGGCAAGCTCATCCTGAATCCCATGTGATCTAAGTTTACTAATCAGTGCAAAGCCTTGTTAAAGGCTTTACTAAAGACCAAGTAAACAATGTGTACCACTCTGCTTTCATCGATCATTTTGGTTACTTCCTCAAAAAACTCAATCATGTTTGAGAGACACGATTTCCTTCACACAAAACCATGCTGACCATCCCTGATCAGTCCTTGCCTCTCCAAATGCTACCTTTCAGAGTCACTTCCAACAACTTAGCCACTACCAATATCAGACTCAGTGGTGTGGAGTTCCCAGGCTTCTCCTTATAGCCTTTGGGTTGAATCGCCTGAGACCGTGCGGAGATGCCACTCCCCAACCAGTTCCCTGTAAGGATTGTTAATAATGAACCAGCTACACCCACTGGTTACAGACTTCCACTTGCCTTGAGCGTAGAGTCATACAGTCACTGAGTTACACAGCATAGACCCTTCGGTTCATCCTGCCCATGCTGACCACGTATCCTAAATTAATCTAGTCTCATTTGCCTGAGTTTGGCCCATATCCCACTAAACCCTTCCTATCCATGTCCCCATCCAGATGCCTTTTAAATGTTGTAGTTGTACCAGCCCCCACCACTTCCTCTGGCGACTCATTCCACACATGCACCATCCTCTGTGTGAAAAAGTTACCTCTTAGGCCCTTTTAAATCTTTCCCCTCTCACCATAAACTTATGCCCTGTGGTTTTGGACTCCCCTACCCTGGGGAAAAGACCTTGACTATTTACCCTATCCATGACCCTCATGTTTTTATAAACCTCTATAAGGTCATCCCTCGGCCTCCGATGCTCCAGGGAAAATATCCCCAGCCTATTCAGCCTCTCCCTTTTGCTCAAACCCTCCAACCCTGGCAACATCCTCGTAAATGTTTCCTGAACCCTTTCAAGTTTCACTACATCCTTCCTATAGCAGTGAGACCAGAACTGAACACAGTATTCCAAAAGTGGCCTGACCAATGTCCTGTATAGCTGCAACATGACCCTCCCAACTCCTACACTCAATGCACTGACCAATAAATGAGATGAGCAATGTTTTAAATACAAAGAGAAAATAGCGGAAATACTCAAGTTGTCAGGATATATCAGTACAGACAGAAACAGGGTGGTTAGCACTGCTGCCTCACAGCACCAGGGACCCGGGTTCAATTCCACCCTCAGGTGCCTGTCTGTGTGGAGTTTGCACATTCTCCCCGTGTTTGTGTAGGTTTCCTCCGGGTGCTCTGGTTTCCTCCCACAGTCCAAAGGTGTGCAGGCTAGGTGGATTGGCCACGGGAAATTGCCCACAGTGTTCAGGGATGTGCAGACTAGGCGTATTAGCCATGGGAATTGCAGGGTTATGGGGATAGGGTAGGGGAGCTTGTCCTGGGTTGGATGCTGTTCGGAGAGTCAGTACAGATTGAATAGGCCGAATGGGAGCTTTTTTCTGCACTGTAGCAATTGTATGTTTTCAAGTGAATGACCTTTAATTACAATGAGGATAGCAAGGTTTCTCTGATACATTGTTACTGTACCTATGTGTCTGTGCGTACATGTCTGTGTGTCTGTGTGTGTGTCTGTCTGTGTGTGTCTGTCTGTGTGTCTGTCTGTGTGTGATCATGTGTGTTTGTGTGTGTCCGTATGTGTCTGTATGTGTGTCTGTATGCATGTGTGTGTCTGTGTGTGTGTCTGTATGTCTCCGTGTGTGTGTGTTTGTATCTGAGTGTGTGTGTCCGTGAGCATGTGTGTATGTGTCCATGTGTGTGTTTGTGTGTGTCCATGTGTGCGTCTGTATGTGTGTCCATGTGTGTGTGTCTGTGTGTCCGTGTATGTGTCTGTGTGTGTGTGTCCGTGTGTGTGTATATGTGTCTGTGTGTATGTGTCTGTATGTCCTTGTGTGTGTGTCCGTGCGTGTGTGTCTCTGTGTGTCCGTGTGCGTGTGTGTGCGTGTCTCTGTGTGTCCGTGTGTGTGTCTGTGTGTCCGTGTGTGTGTGTGTGTCTGTGTGTGTGTCTGTGTCCGTGTGTGTGTCCGTGTCTGTGTGTGTGTCCATGTCCGTTTGTGTGTCTGTGTGTGTGTGTCCGTGTGTGTGTCCGTGTCCGTGTGTGTGTCTGTGTGTGTGTGTGTCTCTGTGTGTGTGTGTCTGTGTCTGTGTCCGTGTCTGTGTCCGTGTGTGTGTGTGTGTGTTCGTGTGTGTCCGTGTGTGTGTGTCCATGTGTGTGTGTGTGTGTCCATGTGTGTGTCCGTGTGTGTGTCCATGTGTGCATGTGTGAGAGAGAGAGAGAGACTGCTTTGTCAGACTGTGCTCTCTGCGATGTACTGCCCCATGAACAGCTTTGTGATGGGCCAACTGTGGACCTGCTGCCATGTGCTATGTCCTGCTCCTATTTGTCGGGTGGTAATGAGCTGGAGTTTGCTGTTGGACGAAACATGGAGAGTTCCCTGTGGTTAATCCTGAAGGTGGAGGGTATACGTTGGTGATGATAGTGGGTGTGTGTTGTGCCTACAACCGGGGGGCAATACTTGGTCAGTTGGCTCTCACTCAGAGAGCTATTGTTGAGCTCCTAGAATGTTCTTCTGGCTGTAAGTTACCCAAGTGAGTGGTGCATGTCCGCTACGTTCTGGATTTGAACTTCAGCAATAATGAAGGGGCTTTGACAAATCTGGGCACCATAAGACCATAAGATATAGGAGCAGAAGTAGGCCATTTGGCCCATTGAGTATGCTGTGCTGT